TTGGCTAGAACATTCTGGGTAAATAAGACTGTTAACCTTTGGTATATCAATATCAGCTTTAAATTTATTATTTTAAAGATTTATTTGTGCATACAAGAGCTGGGGTACAGGCCAGAGATGCGGGGGGGTGGTGGGTGGGTGAGAGGATTCACCAGAGACAGAGTGAGGAGCAGAACAGGCAGATTAACTGAAAACACTGCTGAGGGGAGCAGCGGGCGAGACAAGAGAGGTCTGCTGTGCCATGTGGGTATCTCCCTGGCCGACTGGGGATCAAACTTGTGCTGCAGAGGCTGCTGCAGATAGCTTCACGGTGCTGTGCTTAACCCTTTGGCCACCAGGGTGGCTTGATAGTTGTTTCCTTTCATGTGGGCTCAATCTTCTATTTTGTTTTGTTTTGTTTTTTAAGATTTATGCATATAAGAACGGGGGTACAGGCCAGAGGTGCGGGGCATGAGAGAATTCACCAGACACAGAGTTGGGAACACAACAGGCAGACTGACTGAAATACACTGCTGAGGGGAGCAGTGGGTGACAGGAGAGGTCTGCCATGCCATGTGGGTATCTCTCTGTCCTGCTAGGGATTGAACTTGGGCTGCAGAGGCTGTGGATTGCTTCATAGTGTGGTGCTTAACCCCTTCGCCACGAGGGAGTCCCATCAGCTTTAAATTTAAAGGCTAATTAGTTGGAGAAGTTTCATGAAAACTGGAATTAGGAAGATACTTGTCCTAGCTACTTGATATCCTCATTCTTTTCATTTTGTTTTCTATAAGTCAAATATGACAAAGCTCAGTGATGGTTAGAGTTGAAGATGACTGATTCCTCATATGTAATTTTGTGAGCAATAAAAGCAAATGCCATTCAAATTATAAATTACAATGGAAATTAAGCATTCCCTTGTTTAAAGAACTAATTTGAAATATGATGAGACATTAGATATATAATCACTATATTGGTATTTCGTATGGATAAAAATTAGAAACAAAATAAATGCTCAAAGTTACAATGTTTTAGAAAAAAATATTTAATAACAAGATAATCACAAGATGTTGCTAAATTGAATAGAATACAAATCAGTAGATATAATATTAATCTAATTTGTGGGCCTCCCCTCGTGGCGCAGCAGTTGAGCGCTGGGCTGTGAAGCTGCCTGCAGCCTCTGCAGCGCTGGTTCGATCCCCGGCTGCCAGTGAGGGTCTCACATGGTGCACAGACCTCTCCTGCTGTGCCTGTTGCTCCCCCAGCACTGGGTATTTCATCAGTCTGCCTGTTCTGTTCCCTGCTCTGGCTCTGGTGAATCCTCTCACCCTCCCGTGCTTCTGACTGTACCCAGTGCTTGTATAAATAAATAAATAAATAAATCTTTTAAAAAATATTAATCTAATTCGTAATGTATGAATATTAAAATGAACTATATATAACAGGCTGACATTGTTTAACTCCCCATAAAAATTATATGTGATTTTAAATGTTTTCTTATTTGGCTAAACTATATTTTCTAAGAATAATTAGAATTATTTCTGGCTAATCTATAAGTTCTAAAATCAACATTTTTGAATAAGGAAAAGTGACCATTAAAAGTCTTTATTTTATTGTTCAGTGCAGTTATAGATTTGCAGAATAATTAAGCAGAGGATATATAAAGTTTCATATCTAAAAAATCATCAACAAGCCCAAGGCCACAAAATTTTTTTGCTATGTTAAATTCTAATTATTTTGTGATTTTGTATTTTACATATAGATTTATGACCAGATTTGTGTTAACTTTTATGAAATTTATGTCCATGTCTAGATTTATATTTTTATGTAAAAATATTCCACCACCATTTATTGAAAGGGTTCTATTTTCTCCACTGAATTGCCTTTGCATTTTTGAATAAGAACAACTGAATATATTTGTGTGCCTCTATTTCTAGGCTCCCTGTTTTTATTCACTGGTTTACTTATCAGTTGCTTTGCCAATACCACACTGTCTTGATTACTGTAGCTTTCTACTGAATCTTAAAGGTAGGGAATCACTCCTTTGACATTGTTCTTCTTCAATATTGTATTGACTGTTGTAGGGTCTTTGTCTTTTCATTTGAACTTTAGGGTTAGTTTGTTGACACCCACAAAATAACTGGCTGAAAATGTGATGGGGACTAAGTTGAATATGTAGATCAATTTGGATGAAAGTGACATCTTTAAAATATTGCATTTTTTTCTATTTGTGAACAGGAAGTATGTTTTTCTATTTTTCAAGTTTTTATTTCATCAGAGTACTGTAGATTTTCTCAAATGTGTACAGGATCTTCTTCACTGCTCACATTTTGTTAAATTATGCCTAATTATTTCCGTCTCCCACTTCTGTATTACTGGTTTTCAGGTAAACCAGGGAGGGGGTTGATTGCCTCCACCAACAGGATGTAGAATCCCCAGAACCAGAGATGGTTGTCCCAGTGGTAGATCCCAGCTGGGACCGCAACAATGGGAGAATGAAATGTTGGTCTATAAAGAGTGTTTATTGGTAGGACTGCAGCAGGGAACTCCCAAGCAAAGAAATTTCAGTAAAATTCTACAGCTTGAACATAGAGATAACAAGAATCCATCAGAGTTCCTTGAATGATTATCCAGAGATGTACCACCCACCTGGATATAAATCCAGATGCCCCAGCAAATGCTCATCTGATCACTATGGCGTTCATGACACATAGTGCCCTAGAAATAAGGAGAAAGTTAGCAAAGGTGGATGGTGTCACAGAGATGAGTCCATCCCAATCGGTAGACTTGGCATTTCGGGTTTATAGTAACAGAGAGGATAGGAGACCGAAACCTGGATGCTTTTTGTACAGAGGGAGCACAGGACAGAGGTTCAGAGAAACAGTGACAGAATGGGGAGAGCATCCCAGGAGAAGTGAACCCCTAGGGAGAGATCAGTGTACTTACTGCAGGAAAGAGGGACATTGGAAGTACAGTTGTCCCAAATTACAGGTAAATAGGAGACAAAATAATGACAGAAGGCAGGAAAGATGGCTGATGACACCACAACATGATGATTCATACAAGGGTTCCAGGAGAGAATACTGATGGAGTGCAAGGTTCTGGAACCAGGATAGAGGAAAGGAGACAAAGGATAGCACAGAGTAGAGGCTCAGACGAAGACAGGAGGGAATATGGACAGAGTAGAAGGAATCAAGAGGCAATTACAGAGGAGAGGAGACAGATGGTAGTACATGGAGAAGGTTCAGATGAAGAATAGGGGGCACAGGGGTTCCACTAGATCTAAAAGAGCCCCGGGAGGAACTGACCCAAAGACAAAAACCCACTGGTCTTGTAAACCCATTGGGGACCCGAAATATTTTTAAAAAAGAGAAAACTTATATGTTACTCTCTTGTCTTCTTTTCCGGCTACTGTGGCAGGATACTCCAGGACTCACTTTCTGAAAAAACTCGGAGATGACAAATACGCTCTAACCAATCTTCCTTTCAAAGTTTAGGAGATAGGAAATAACATCTGAAATCATGCAGTTTTGCTGGCAGTACTTTCTCTTTAATAATTTATTTTTTATTACATAGAAAGGCCTTCAATCTTGATTTTGGTATTTCCTTTTAACCTTTGCCTTTCTTTTATCTTTGAGGCTTTTTGTTTTTTTGTTTTGCTTGTTTTTGTCATCTTGGTCTATGAGTGAAACTAAAGAGCTCTCTTTAGTTATCTACAGTCTGTATGTTGTATGTCTTGTGTCTTTGCTTTGGCCTCTGGTGGTTTTAAAATTGGTATAGATGGTGCCTATAGACATTGGAAAAAAAAAAGTCTCCACTTATGAGGAAGAACTAAAGGTTATGGTTTGAGTGTCAACATTGTATTACTGACCTGGGTTGGAGCTTTCATAGAGATTAAACATTGTTGTTCCTGCTGTTTTTCTGATATCTATGACAAAAGCTTCCTAGAAATTCAGGCCTCCCCTGGTGGCTCAGTGGTTGAGTGCTGGGCTGCGAAGCTGTCCGCAGCCTCTGCGGGCACAGTTCGATCCCCGGCCACCAGTGAGGGTCCCACATGGTGCGCAGACCTCTCCTGGTGCACCCGCTGCTCCCCTCAGCAGTGTATTTCGTCAGTCTGCCTGTTCTGTTCCCTGCTCTGACTCTGGTGAATTCTCTCACCCTCCCGCGCTTCTGACTGTACCCAGTGCTTGTATAAATAAATAAATCTTTAAAAAAAAACTGTCTTAAAAAAAACATTCCCAGAAATGTAAATTGAAGTAAAATTTGGTAGTCTGTCATTTGGTTGATAAAAGGAAATTTTGTGGAACCTCAGTAGAGCACCTGAGACACTCCACAAAATTTCTCTTTTTCTTCTGGGGAGAATTTGTCCTATTTGGTTTCCTCAGTAAAGAAAACTGGAAGGGAAGCATCATAACTTGGCAAAATGATAAATCTTCGGCATGTACAGAAATGTTAACACTGTTTTCTGAAACTTGTGTAAAACCTTTCATTACCTATGTATGTAAATTGCCTGTGTTGATTGTTGTCCCACAATATTGTATATGTCAATGGTTTGGTATCTGCAGAAATTGTTTCTGGAGAAAAAGACCCTAAATGATTCCAATTAATGGAACTTTGACAGTGAGAATTTCATACAAAGGACTGAATAGACTGGTGAAGATAAACATGATTTTTACTAAGTTTTGGTTGAAATAATACTGGTAATTTTGTTTGCATTTTGTTTTGATTCAAAGGAAATTTTCTCATTTTGACCAACCCGGATAGGCAGCAATATTGCATTGTGTTTCCCAGCAGAGTAACTTGTGTTTGCGTTTTCTCTCCCCTTGATACCAACACAGTATGAAAAATAGTGGTAGTAATTTTCAGTGCTCATGGCAGAGTATTTTTGCATAACTTCAATGGGGAATTTTGTTTGCTTAAACTAGAAAATTGGAACATGTTCCATTGGGAGGCTTTGATTGGAATTCTTCCAGGCAGTTGAATTTGAGCGGAACCAGGACGAGAACCTGCTCTTTTGTTTGTAGGGTTCCAGAGACCTCCAAAGATGGTGAGGAAGCTGCCTCCATTGGCAGGACTGGACGACCGGGAAAAAGCAAAAGACCTGGTAAACCTTGAGACGAGGACACACCAGGTGGACTTGGAGAGACCAACTTCGTTCCTGCGCAGACCAGATGTCAGGAGTTCACTGTGATCCTATGTGGGGTATTCCAGCACAGCCCGCTAAAACTGCTGTTGGTTATGTTGTCCTATGTTTTATGCAAAAATAGGTTAAATGGTTTAAAAGTAGATTTAGGTTTTTTTTTTTGTTTGTTCTTCCTAAACAGCCATCTGTATTTCTCCATCATAACTTCTTTTAAGTTTGTGGCCTTTCCTGACTCATCTTTCAATGTTTTCCAGAGAACTTGCCCACGTGGAAGAAAATGCACACCACATAATGAGTTTTTATTTCCCATGAATCCCTAATCAGGTTCCTTTGTTCACAACCAAGTAGTTAAAAAAAAAGTAGATTTAGTTTGCAAATTTTTACTATATTGTTGGATAAAGTTGGGATCAAGGTGGACTAGAACTTTAAGATCAGTTAATCAGTTTTTAAGATTTTTTTTTCTTCTTGTGATTTTGATATTTTTGCTGTTTTGTTTTGGCTAGTGCCTCCCGATGATTTTCTTTTGGCGTGGACTTAATTCTCTTACAGGAATAGAGGACTTTTGTTTGCCACACTTGACGAAACCTGGAGACTGTTTTTTGTTCTAAACTGGAACCCTGAGAAATTATCATCTGAGCCGGAAACCCAGCATATACACATCTTACCTTCAGCAACATAGTAATGGGGGCAAACAATGAAAGGGGGGAATTAATTGGGGAGAAAGGACGCCCTGAATAAACTCCACTACACAGGTTTATGTGGACTCCTACCCCCCCCATTCCAGACTAAACACCGGGAACTACAAATCCCATCATGCCATCTTCATGGAAGGAAGGATTGGAGGGGACTGAGGGTGGAGTTAAACAGTCAGGCCTGGTATATAACCTGATAGGTGGACCGTGGGGGTTCTCTTGGCATTTTGCCAGCTCTCTGTATGCCATGTGGGCCCCGTGTGCCATGAGGGATTCCAACTCAGTGGAGCTAGTAGAATGCATTCACCAATTTATCTCCCTCTCCTTGAGTTCTTCACTCCCCCTTCTTTTGTAAATAAACCATTTATGAACCTTTCTGTGTGTGTCTGTCTGCAGTTCAGTCTTAAGTTCTCCGGTGAGGACCCACAGTCAGGCAACCCATTTTATATCAGCGTTACCCTGTAACATGAATCACAGGGAGGACACAAAAGGGGGAGAGTAATGGAACTCATCACTTCATTGAGAACTCACTCAGTATGTTTATGATTTGTATGGGAATATTAAGGCTGAGTTAAAGAACAAAACAGTCAGTATAGGGAAAGAACAAATGGTGTAGTTGATTTATGCCAATAAACCTCAAGGTACTACGGGGTAATAGATGCTTTACATACGGAGGGTGTTTAGTGGCATGGTAGTTGTTAATTGACTGATATTCACATTGCACTCGGGAGCATCATAGGTGTTAGATTTTACTAGGAAGAACTTGTGGAGGGGCAAGGAGGGAGGGGGCAAGGAGGGAGGGGGCAAGGGCGATCTGAAGCACAGAGCATAGTGGAGCAGCAGGCACAGAGAGAAGAGAGACCTATCTGCTGCACCACATGCGCTCTAGCTCCATGCCCCCTTATGGGGGCTAACTCCCACGCTCCTTGCGGGTGGCTCCCTGGCCGGGGCTTGAACTCAGGCCGCAGCGGTGAGAGCGCTGAGACTAACCCCTAGGCCATCCTGGAGGCCCCGCCAAGGGCTTAGTTAAATGGAGCCTTTAACCTTTATTAGGCGGCTTCAGGAGAACTACTGACAGCGCTTCTCCAGCAAGTCAGTAGAGACTACGGCTGCCCTTCCCTTCCCTTCCCTTCCCTCAGTGATCATCACTGTCTCCTCCTAGGGCCCCTGGGCGCTGAGGGAAGATGGCTTTCAGCAGCACCTCCATGTCTTCATCGCTAGTGCCCTCCACACACACCAGAGGGTGCCCTGCACTCCAGACGTGCCTTGGCCAGCGGCTTCCCTCCCCCGCTCCCCTCTTTCAAGCCGCAGGCCCAGGGCCACCCTCAGCCTCGGGAGTAGGGGCCGCCGGCCCCACACCACACCCCCATCTCGGTCGGGGAAAGGCAGGCGGGAGAACACGGTTTGCACCAGGAGGGCAGAGTGGAGAGGATGGCTGTAGGGAGCCTGGGGGCCCCCAGGGGTGGGCAGAAAGCCCGGGAGTGCTCCGGAGGGACCCTGGGGAGGCAGGGAGGGCAGGAAGCCAGATGCCAGTGGCCACAGGCTCCTCAGTCTGAGAGGGGAGCCTCTGCTGCCCGGGGGCTGCAGGTCACATAGGTGAGGCTGGGCCCTTCCTGCTGCGGAAAGGCAGAAGAGCAAGCGCCAATGTGGGGGTGCAGGTGCAGGCAGGTCCGTGGGGTATGTGTTATTGCCCGACTGAGGCAGAACTCAGAGAAGCCAAATTGCCTGGGTCAGCAGACACTGAGGTCCCCTGCCTACAAAGGGGAGGTGACCCTAAGGAGCCACAGGCCCAGGTCCACAGCCTGCAGATGGGCCACGGTGCTTCCCCTGGGGTACAAGGGCTGCCTTGGCCCTGCACTGGCGGGCACAGCCACACCGGGCATGGATCCAGTCGTCACCCTACAAGCCTAAGACTTTGGAAAACACTAAGTTTAGTTAGAGCAATTACAAAAGAGCCACACACCTTGTGTACCACTTTAGGGTTGATCTGTTCAAGCCTTCCTATTAGAAGTCAGTCCTGGGGTGCCCTGGACAGCAGCTCAAAGAGCAAATTCAATATCAAAGTACAGATGACCCCTCCCCACACTCAGGAGAAATGGCAACAACATAGGGAAGAAAAACCCAGTAGAGTTGCATGAGGCACCGTACCGGTGCTCTGACCGCAGCCGCCCCTGAATGTCTTCTAGCAGCTGTGCGGTCAGCATTAGTCCGTCAATTGAAAAAATTCAGAGTGAGTCAAGAATAGGTCTCTCTTCCTCTGACAAGGCTCAGCAAAGTACCATGAGGGTAAAAGAGCACCCCGATTTTTAGATGATCTGAACAGACTAATTTGTTACAGGAAGCCATAGAAAGCAGTTTTAGAATGCCATCATTTTATTTATTTATTTTTAACAATGTATGTATTTATGCATACAACTGGGGTACAGAGGTGCAGGGTGTGTGTGTGTATGTGCATATGTGTGTGTGTGTGTGAGAGAGTATTCACCAGAGACAGAGTGGGGAACAGAACAGGCAGACTGAACTGAAATCCACTGCAGAGGGGAGCAGCGGGTGAGACAGAAGAGGTCTGCTGCACCATGTGGGTAACTCCCTGGTGGGCTGGGGCATTGAAGTCGTGCTGCAGAGGCTGCCGACAGCTTTACAGCGCTGTGCTTAACTCCCTGCACCACCAGGAAGGACCATTACCTTGATTGTTATATAAAAAAAGACTAAAATTTGGTGTTACATAGGTACACTACTGATATTTAAGTCAATTAAAATATTTTCCCCTAAGTCACTTGAGCACACAAAATTTCTTTTTCTAAAATTTGTCTTTCAGACCTTTGACCATTTCTTTTGCTTTCTTATTGGTAAACACTTTTGCTTTCTCATTGGTTAACACTTTTGCTTTCTTAATATTTCTTTTTCTCCCTCTCTCAGACCTTTAACACTTGCTTTAATACTTTTTACTTTACCTTTAAAATATATATTGTTGGGCCTCCCCGGTGGCGCAGCGGTTGAGCGCTGGGTTGCGAAGCTGCCCGCAGCCTCTGCGGCGCCGGTTGGATCCCCGGCTGCTCCCCGGCCACCGGAGGAGGGTCCCACATGGCGTGCAGACCTCTCCTGCCGCCCGCTGCTCCCCTCAGCAGTGTACTTCGCTCCTTCTGCCTGCTCTGCTCCCCGCTCTGGCTCTGGTGATTCTCTCACCCTCCCGCGCTTCTGACTGTGCCCAGTGCTTGTGTCAACAAACAAACAAATAAATAAATAAAAATACATGCCTCTATTAAAAGAAAAAAAATAATAAAATATATATTGTTAATACATGCTTTTCTTTGCAAACACTCATCTCACTTTACATCTATTTAGCATTATTGTATCTTTTGTTTTTAGTAAAACATGTAATGGCTGTTACACTATCATCTGTTTAGAACAGATAAATCAGACATAAGCACAGGCTTTCTCAGAGATTGAAAATTAGCTTCCTACCTGACAAGAAATGAAAGGTTACCTGAAAGCTCAATGATTTTATACAAAGTGACTTAATTATTTAACAAACTTTCATTGTTAAACTCAGTAAAACCTCAGTTTTATAAGGAATTCTGCCATTATTTAAATAATGATAAGTGATATGCAAAAATCTAAACATTAGAACTACGAAAATAACCTTTTTTTAAATCTAATCCCAAATGACACAGGTTCCCTGAGAAATCTGTCAACAGAGGAAGCATGAATAACAGAGCCATGACCAGGAGTGCCGGCATTCTGAGGACCCCAGTCACAGCTTCGCTCTGCTCCCCGCTGGACAGGCTAGAGCAGCACATTCACCGTCGGGGGTCTCACCCCGGAGAACCCCGCGGTCGGCTGAGGCGTCCTGTCTTCCCCTTGGTCTAGACCTCCAGGAGCTCCCTCCGCAGGGGCCGCAGGGCCGCTGGGTGGGCATCATCGCAGGAGAGGCTGTTCCGAAGGGCCGTCTCTTGCGACTGGCGGTCGTGTTTGGTTACTTTTCTTAAAATATTTTTTTTCTATTTATACTAGAACCGGGGCACAGGCGGGATGTGCGGGAGGGCGAGAGGACCCGCCAGAGCCAGCGCGGGGAGCAGAGCAGGCAGAAGGACCGAAGGACACTGCCGAGGGGAGCCGCGGGCGGCGGGGGGTCTGCCTCGTGCAGGACCCAAACGGCCCGCGCAGAGCTCCGCACCCCCAGCGCCCCGCCCCGGGTCCCTGACTGGCCCCCTGCACCAGCCACCGGCAGCGACTTGTCCTCAGCTCCCTCTTGCTCCGGGGGGTTCCTGAAGAAACGGGGCTCCCGCCGGCCAGAGCTTCACCCCGAGTCTGGAGCAGCGAGCGCGAGGAGACCCCGGCAGCGCGGGAGGCGGGAGCGGGCGCAGGGCCAGGGCTGCGGGGCGGGTGTCGGGGGCCCAGGGCCGGGGCGGCGGGAGAACCCCGGGGCTCACGGGGCGCCCCGCCCGTCCTGCTGCGCCGAAGCTCAGGAAACCCAACTACACGGAGGCGAACACCCCGCGTCTCCACGACGCCGTGAACCCAGAATTTCCACGCGACCCCACAGCAAGTCGCGCCCCGCGACTGAAAACACGCGGGGATCGTTCACCCGCGACCGCACAGGCCCGGACCCGCTGCCGCCACCGGGAGAGACGGGGCGTCCCGCCCCCCGTTATTCCCTGCCCCGCCCCGCCCCGCCCGCGCGCTGCCCGCGGGTCACTCACCGCTCTGGGGCGGCCTCCCGCCCGGCTCCCGCCCCGCTCCCGCCCCGCTCCCGCCCCGCTCCCGCCCGCTCCCGCCAGTCAGCGCAGCGGCAACGGAGGCGACACGCAGGGGGCGGGCGAGGCCGAGGCGGGACAGGCTCGCGCTTGGGGGCAACCAGGGCCGGAGACGCGGCGCGCGCCTGGTGGCCGGAGGGGGGGTCGATGCCGCCCGGTAGGAATAATGGGGGGCAGAGGCCCCGGTGGGGCCAGGGGCGCAGGGGGGGATGGAGCCGGTGTCGAGGGGCGGGTCAGTCCGGCCCAGGGGAGACGCAGCCTGGGAGAGTCGTGGAGGCGGTAGGCCAGTGAGGGGGGGCGGGAAGCGGGAGTGTGTGACGTCAGAGCCTTCAAGAGGGAGAGACAGAAAGACGTGGAGGCAAGAACCCGCTGAAATAGGGGTTCTCGCTCATTTAGAAAAATTGTGTATCGCCCTCCTGTGTGGAACTTTGACTTCAGCTATTAGAATTTGGAATATTATATATATGCGTGTGCATTAAAAGAAATGGTAATGCAGTGTTTGAGAAATGACCTAAGGAAATGCTGTGAACACAAATAAAAATGTATATCCGTCAAAATGCTAACCAGCACTTTCTTGTACTAACAAATACAGGAAACAATCTCCATCAGAAGTCCAGGAAACAGTCAAATCTGTGACAGT